ATTCGAGCCACGGAATTTTTCATCGGCGGAATTTTTCATTTATTCTTTTGAACGCGTTCCAGAAGCGAGAAGCGATTGGCCCGCGGCTCCGGGCCCAAGATTGCCGAATTTTAATTCGCCGGATCTTTGACCGGTCCGGATAAACAGTTACCTCGTTCAACGACGATCCACGAGAAACGGAAATCCTCGGTCGTTCCCCAATTTTGCGAACGTGCGGAGATTTATCGAACGTTTTTGAAATCGCTACCTGCTAATTACGGGTTCTTTATAACCCGCTCTATTTCCGACTGAAAAAAATGGATCTGCGCTGACTTTCGATATTAAACGTTCAACCGGGAGAACTGGTATAATGAGGTTTTTATTTTTATTTGCTAATTGGAGCTACTTCAAAGTTTTCGATTCCGTCTGCTCCTTTTTCTTCGACTTCTTTCGCTCGTTTTCCCTTTTTCGCTCGCTCTTTTTCTCCCGCTCTTTTTATCTCTTCAAAAATTAATAGAAAACTTTCCAGTCTGAAATAATAAACTTCAGGCTGTTTTAACGCCATGATCTCACCCTATTCAGTGCTCGACGAACATTCTTGAATATTCGCTTCTTGTTTCCATTGATTTTGCGTCGCTTTCTCAGCGAGCGACACAGTTCTCCGTCGAAATAAATATGGCGGAAATAGGAAGAAATCTTTGTACGAAATTTCGTGACCCTTTCGTTCCGCACTCAGCGATTATCTCACCCTTAAGAAGGGAGCGACTGAGATTTCGCAGGTTTAGGGTCGGTGAAGACTTTAAGACAGTTCAATTCTCGTGTTGCTTATCCTTAGATGTTAACGCCGCTCTGATAAGACGAATCTCCCATCGGTTGATCTTCCTGTGGAGATTCGGTGCTCGTTTGATCCTCGAGGAATCATTTAGGGTGTCCACCCCTGAAGATTGATTTAGGTTGATCTGTTCCTTAATGTACTTCCGCGCAGGTACAATTTCCGTCGTCGTCATTGATTAAGATATACTTCTACGGAACCGAAAGTAAATATGGTTCTTGTATAATCTCTATGAATTTATATAAACTAGATTTAAAAAGAAGTCTTCCATTATACTGTACGTTCTAGCATATTCCTAGAAAGCTAAAATTCTCGTTAAATTTATTTATAAGTTTTCCTTTGCATATTTTACAAAATCAAAAATACCACGTGGCTCTGTAAATTTCTAAGTCTGATTATTTATTAATTGAAAAATATTCTTGGAAAGATGAGCAGCGTATTGATCCCTGAAAATCCGAAAGTTCAATGCTCACACGACATAATAGAAAGGCAGAGTCTTCACCGTGGGAACGAGGATGGACTTTCCGGCTTTTTCGCGCGTCTCCGATGGCCATTCCCGCTGGTGCCTCTTGCAATAAGAGAAAGCCACGCGAAAAAACGTGACACGAGCAGCGCGTACAAAGTGCAGGCTCGATTTAAGATGCGGAGGGATCCAGTTTATCCGGATACCGTTTATCTAAAACGGCGATCGTCCGAATACAGTTTACCCGGAGTGGTGTACGGGACCCATCTACCGACGCGTCGTGTCCCGCGCGACCTTGTCTTGTATCGAGCACACGTCCTGCGGAAACTCGAGCATGCGTTATATCTATTGATTCGATGCGACTATGAATGCGAACGCGATCTAGAAATACCATTTTTTTTTCCTTCCCGACAAATAGACTGCAGCCGCTTTGAGACATCGCGACCATTGAAATTTATTGAGATTAAAAGGACCTTCCTTGCCTTTCGCGGAACCCAATCTCGGCCACCGGATGATTTTGGATATGGACCAACTATCAAAGGCTACGAAACTACAAGGCATTTAGTGGAGTAATAGCTTTAGAATATTTCCTTGTAATATCGTATGCTGTAATGGTTACGAAGAGATTCTGAAATTTGAATTTGTATTATTATTGGCTCTCAATACACGGTATCCATATTGTTCGAGTATATCACGCGATTTATCAACGCAAAATTCAATTCCGATTCTCTTTACAGAATCACACGGCTCGAACACGACAAATTAATAAACTCACCATCCATGGAGAATCGGGGAGATGGTAATTATCAGTTTAATGTATTACCGAGCACAATGAAACATGAACTGTTACTTCAACGGTTAAAACATTTTATTAACAGTTTGTTTAACGAGCTAACCGGCTAGAATCGTCGAACGACGCGTGTAAATTCGGTGAACCGCGGTGAAATTGCGAATGTTAACCGTTTAACCGAGTAAAAGTGGTTACCTGGCTCGTACGAACCGGCGTGGTGAGTGTGACGCGTTTTTCAAATCGACATTTTTAACGGAGGAATATATTTTCGAACGCTATGGATGAAATAAAATTCAAGAAAAAAGTCGGGGAAAGAACAGCGGACAATTTACCAAGACCAGCCGATGGCTCCGGGTCGTAGGCATCGTTTCTCATGCGCGCGACGCGCACGCGGAACAAATAGACGTTTGATTCCGAGCGCTCGTGTGCAGCGCGCGCGGTCGCTACGCGGACGCTGGACACGCTCGCGAACCGGGTCAACGTTTCGATTAACGTTCGTCAAACAACGAACGCACCGCGGGTACACGACAGTAATCATTTCTCCGCTGACCGATTTTTTGACGCATTGACAAGCTTTCAAATAATAGTCCCGGATGCCGACGCTACCCCGCTGGATTTTCAACCTCGATAAATCTCCATCGGCGTGGGGGAGGGCTGCGCTTCAATCTCCGTCACCGGAATCCAACTTCCAACGGCCCGTTTCACAAAAGATATTTCCTTGGTAAATCAGGATATTCACCGAGCTATAAAATTCTGTTTCGTATACCCGCGCGCCACTCCTCTGCGATATTTATTGCCGCTTTATCCCATACACCTGTCGGTAATGTCAATACACATAGATACAGGGTCTTCTAATGACTTGTTTAATCCCACACTCGCAGGATTACTTTCTCATCCCCTTTTGCGTGTCCGGAGAAACTTAATTAACCCCGATACAGTGTTTGTTTCGTCCACGCATTCGAAGTACAATTGAAACTGGACTTTTTTCTATTTTTCTCGAATTTAAAAGAGATCTTGGAAAAACCGAGCACGCGATTAACTGGAAAAGGTGTACAAGGATATAGCACTAAAGAAATGAAAACACTATTGACTCGGAAAAGACCCAAAGTACGTAGTAAGGTTCGAATAAGTTCTTCGTGGTTACTGTGAAATCGGATATTACAGAAACGACGCTCGAAGTCGATCTTTTTTCTGCTGATAGGAAACACCGAGGACCGTCTTTTGGTCCGATTTCCTTCTTACGAAGTTCTCGCACCCTTTCGAAACACCTTGTACAGCGGATAATAATTACCGCGAAGTTCCAGGACCTAAAACTAGAGTCGAGCAACGCGCTCAACAACTGAAAAGTTTCTCAGAATGAAATTCTCCCCCTTTGTTCCAGAAACACAACCCCCGAGAGCGTAATACACTACCTTATCTCAACCAGTACACCCCCAGCCTCGTAACCCGACTGTCTCCTTCCCGACAATTCCGCGAAGATCATCGTTTTGTTCGCGAATCCCGTGGACCATCACCCGCTGCGTTCAAGAATCATCATAAAGAAGAGTGCGGCATTCGAAGATAGACACAGGTTCGCGGTCACACGTCGTTCCTTTCCGAAATTACACGATACGATATTTCAAAAATCTGAGGTAGATGTAACTGAACCTAGATTCTCCAGATGCTTCGAATTATTATTTTTATACCCTTTAAAGATTTATTATTACACGGTTGATAATAATCGTCCATATTCCTGTAAGATATATTCAATAATCGTGACATCAGTCTTCTTGCCATTCGACTTTACATATTAAAAATTCATCGATAGGTAATTAGAGTAATTAATAATTGCGATTAAGTTACAAGTCGTATCCTACCACAACAACAATCCGTCGAAATGAACAGTCGATTCACGTGAATCAGCCAACAGAACACTTTTTTCACGAATGACTTTTTCGACAATTTTTACCAAGGTATTACTGAAAAAAAAAATAGATCCGTTTATTTCCACAACGATGTCAGCTACAATGCGTACAGACAAAGGGCAAATGTACATACACAAAAAAATACGAGAATGACCTTGGGGACTTAAATAACAAAGCGACATTTCTAAAAAAATCCTTCCTTTGTCCGACTCAGCTTTTGGAAGCATTTTAGACGACACATTTTTCGCAGAATCTAGGGAAGATAACCGCGCATCCCCCGTTACGAAGCGCACCCCAGTTGCTGCGTTGTTTCCACGCATCGGAATCATTATCCAAATTCAATCATGTCCAGCCGGATCGCTGAAATATCACACATACTGTGCACGGTCTCGATCCGACCTCCCCTCACCCACGTCAGTTCTTGGTCGTGCGGCCAAAACCACCCCTACGGCAGCACTTTATTCCAACCTCGGCACCAACGCGAAGTGGGTGGACGTGGGATCGGCGGTACACCAAGGGGTGAGAGAGACGGGCACAGAGAAAAAGAGTGAGAGGCAACGAGAGCGTTGCGGCGGGGGGGTGTGCAGGAGGGTTGGAGTTGGCGTTGGTTAGACGTGGAGGGGGAGGAAGGGCAGACTGTGTTTCTCCGCGAACCCCTCCAGCCCCCACCTTGGCCGCACGGGCGCCAACGTCAAGCGCTTTCGAGACGTTAAGGCCGACACTCGTGCGGCGCACTTCGGCCCGACGACATCGCCGAGCAT